AGCAAAATTTAATCTCTACAGGATATGTGAAAACTGGAGAACAACTATGAGACATTTTCACAAAGGCTCTAAATGGGACTCGAGTTGATTATATTTGTAACAAGTTGGATATGATTAATATCTATACTCTAACTTGATGGGGAGTGTAGTGCAAATAATTATATAGAGGCTTAATTATAGGGATTCTTACTTCCTAATTTAGATTTCTCAATCTGTGTATACATGTATCTTCTCCTATTAATAAAGATATCAAATTATTCTCTCTTCGTTACACAAAAACACATCATTAAACAACTCGTCCAAGAACGACCACAAACCCTTTCTCTTAAAGAGAGTATACCTTGAGCCCGGAAATAGAGGACGAAGGGTAAACAATTCAGCCATTATTGCGCCCATAGCCCACATTTCTGAAAGTTAAAAAACAACTAGATTATAACATGAAAAACTTCCCAAAAGCAAGAGCTCTTTTTCCATCATCCACTCACCAACTGCAGGACCATATGTTGGTGACTGGAATAGAACTTCAGGTGCCCGGTACCTGTGTACATTTTATTATTAAAAAATATGTACGTGTCAAGAGTAAACAGAAAAGGTAAAGACAACCACCCACCAGCTTGTTGAGACATACTCTATGAACGGAGGTTGAGAGTTTATCTCCCGTGCTAGACCAAAATCAGCAACTTTTATGATATCCTTTGAGACTAGCAAGTTCTCTGAAAAAAAAAATAATGAACAAATAAATGCAAAAGAAATGGATAGCCAAAATTTTAGAGATAATAGTTTGGCACAAGATAACTACACTTGATTTAAGAAATATTATTTAAAAAACAAGAAGTAAAAAAATAAAAAGGGTTTATAAGCAATCAATCGTGAAGTCTACTTATCCGAATTGAAACATATGCAGATTCTAAGGATACATTCACCTAATTTGAATAAGATATGAAACTGAAAGTTCACAAGCACATAGAATCAAGCAACACATCTGTTAATTACTTTTTCAACATGTTACTCTGAAATTCATAAGAAAAACTCAAGCCAGAGAACGGGAAGAGAACCCCAATTCAAACCTGGAAGATGGAGGTTATTGGCAAAACATTCCAGAATGCGTTACAGTCAGAACAAAAAATGATATTGCAATTTTTTTGTGTAATCACCTGGCTTGAGGTCACGATGGAAGTATCCACGTTGATGTATGTATGCACTTGGAAGCACCAAGTTCTTACTTCTACTTCTGAAAAAAATTTTCTCCTCTCCTTCAAAAGATGGTACAGATTGCATTCCTGAAAAATTAACAGAAATTACAAGCTTATATAAAGCCATCAGAAAAGAAAAATTAACAAAATTTTCAAGCTTATATACATAGTGAGAAGCTATCAGAAAAGCAACAGACATCTAGAAATGACATAAGCAACACATACCATGTACTCGAAGACAAAGTACAAAACATCATTTTCTCTAACGACCTCCTTAAGCTTAACTATATTTGGATGGTTCATTTTCCGCAGTGACTGTCAAGAAGAAAACAATTGTTTATCTTCCACAAAGAGAAACCTAAAAAATCAATAAAAGGGTAAATTATGTTACCTTGACTTCTCTTAAATTTATGCATTCTTCCCACGAATAGTATTTCTTCTTTATCTTTTTTATTGCAACCTGATGAAGTAAATATTAATATGAAATAAAATCAACTTCATCAATTTAAACTCGAGAAGAATCTAAATGAAAAATACACGTACCACTTCAGCAGACTGCTTATTCAAAGCGCGCCAGATACTTCCAAATGTACCGTTACCAACCTCCCTAATAATCTTGTACCTGCAATTAC